ATGAAAGCTAGCATCCTCTCTGAATACACAATTTTCTCCGGGAGATGTATTTCCAGACGATCCAATTGTAGTGGAAGTGCTGGGAAACCGTTGACCTTTGGCCTCAAATGTAAAACATACGTGTGGCTTGGAAGTAGCTAGCTTTATCAACGTCAATCGTAATTAGGGATAAGGATCGAAATACTAGGCAATAAATAGAGATATAATATCCAACTAGCATTTTGTTAAAAGAAGAGAGAAAAGGTTACCTATATTTGTCAATCATTATATCTTTGAATGCTGTCCTCAAAAGTTAAATTGTCTTGAGAGTTGAATCCTGTGTCAAAAATTGGAAACTACGTACTAAATTACCAGAAAGGCACAAAATGGGTCAGTTGGGAAGGTGAGCCCAACATGCTTTATAATACAGGGTTACAGGAAAAGTCGTGCTAGATCCATTAAGGGCGTGTAGTACCCATCATTTCTGACTTATTTCATTATGAAACACCCTACCCTAAACTTAACCCTTTTCGAGATATTCAACTTTTAATGTTTTTATTTTTATTTTGTGTGTGTTATTATTACTATTATTGCATTTTAACATGTGTAATAAGATGCTTTAGGACGTCAATCATTAAAATAGTCCATAAGTTAATTGAATAGGCTGTAGTAGATAAGTGAATGTTAAGAAATTGAAAAAAATATCAGAAAGTTTATTTTTCTCTAAGGGATATCTAAAAAAAATATTATGGCAATTGTTCGGCAGATGTGTTTTAAAATATCTATGTTTTATCAGCTATCTAACGAGGTATAACAATCTAGGATTTTATTTAAATGCATTGAAAAAACTTAGTTTCATAGGCGACAGTGGAGAAGAAAATTGATACTTAGCCCTAAAAAGTAAAATAAAACAATAGGTAAGCATGAAATATCATTTATTAAATCAGGTTTTCACACAACTTTTTCTTACTCTACAGTTCATGTTCAACATGGCTGCCTCTGTTTCTAATACATTGTCGCATCCTTCTACGGAGACCAGTCTTTACAACTGCAGTGGTCAACGTTGTCCTTAGTTGATTTGCTGCATCGACAATCCTTTCTCTTAATTCTTCCACAGACGAAACTGGATTTGGCTCGCTGTAGACAAGACTTTTCATGCACCCCCACACATGAAAATCCATGGGGGTTAGGTCCGGACTTCTTGCTGGCCATGGCAACGGCCCACCTCGTCCTATCCATTTGTTTGGATAATTTGTGTCCAGCCAGTCTTTGACACTTCTCCTGAAATGGGCAGGGCAGCCATCATGTTGGAACCACATGTCCCTTCTCAAGTTGAGTGGCAGATCATCCAGCAAATCTCTGAAGTCTCCTCTCAAGAAGTTTTCGTAATTTTCCCCATTTAGATTGTCCGGGAGAAAGTAAGGTCCAATCAAATGGTTGGAGATAATGCCCATCCACACATTCACGCTGAATCTTCGTTGGGACCTCGCCACTCTTTTCTTATTGGGATTCCTTAGTACTTTTGGGGCCCAGTAATGGGCGTTGTGATAGTTAGTTATGCCATCGTTATCAAATTTGGATTCATCTGTCCATAAGATATTTCTTAGAAAATCTGGGTCTTCTACGTCAGCATTTAGCATAAATCTGCTGAAGTCCAACCTTCTCGCGGGGTCTCCTTCTTCAATAGTGTGTACCGGCGTGTAATGGTACGGGTATAGGCCAGCAGTATGCACTGTAAACCACACTCTCCATTGCGAAAGTCCCAGATCACGGGCAACACGATTAGTGGAAATGTTCGGATCCGCTCGAAAGCGTTGCACTATCTCATTGTCCTGCAGTTCTTCGTTGTCATGAATTCGTGGTCTTCCCAGGTCTGTATTTCGTCTCAAAACAGAGCCAGTTTCTCGAAGTCTTAGATAAACTCTGTTAAAAACGGCCACATCCGGCACTCGACGACCGGGGAAGCGAGTTCTGTATTCGTTGCGAGCTTGCGCAGATACACAATCGCAGTATCCGTAACAAATAAGCATATCAGCATATTCCTCAGGTGTGTAGGACGTCATCTTCAACACTTTCGTATCACAAGTACAAATCAGAGTCCAGTGAACAAGCACAGTATTCACAAATCAGAAGAAATAGTCCAGAATCGTAGCCAAGTCGAGGAAAAGAGCAAAACGATATCACATCTACTATGTACGAAGCACAAAAGCAGACTGACAACCAAAACAACATCCCGTGTTGGATTTCCAGCCCTAACCGGTTATTATAATATGTTTTCTTTCATTCGCACCCACATTAAATCGTCATGTCTCGCTCGCACGGTGCGTCTAAACTTGAAGGAGAATAGGCGTGGGAACTGCTACTGGAGCGTCCCAACTACTTTTTTTCTACGAAATGTAATACAAATCCTAGATTGTTATACCTCGTTAGATAGCTGATAAAACATAGATATTTTAAAACACATCTGCCGAACAATTGCCATAATATTTTTTTTAGATATCCCTTCGAGAAAAATAAACTTTCTGATATTTTTTTCAATTTCTTAACATTCACTTATCTACTACGGCCTATTCAATTAACTTATGGACTATTTTAATGATTGACGTCCTAAAGCATCTTATTACACATGTTAAAATGCAATAATAGTAATAATAACACACACAAAATAAAAATAAATACATTTAGTAGCCTAAAAATCGGCAATTTTCAATAAAAACATTAAAAGTTGAATATCTCGAAAAGGGTTAAGTTTAGGGTAGGGTGTTTCATAATGAAATAAGTCAGAAATGATGGGTACTACACGCCCTTAACGGATCTAGCACGACTTTTCCTGTAACCCTGTATACAGGGTGTTTCAGTTTATTGTTGCATAACTTTAAGATTCGATAGAACTTTTAAAATTAATGCATAAAGTCTATATAAACATGGGTCGAAAAATGCGTGGCTTCCGAAATACAGGGTGTTTAAATTTACCCTGATACTGACTGATTTAAATTGTGCGTCATTTTTGATACAAGCATTTGGTGACGCCGTAGAAGTTGTTTAAAGCACGTGTGTCCAATCCATCATGGAGCGCTACCCGATCCCACAACGCGTCCGTATTGTTTAAACGTTTTACTTAAATAATGAGTCGATTGTAGCAACGATTTGGAAGCTACAACAAAATTTCGCTCAAAATAATGTGCCCAGTATCAACACCATTCGTCAGTTGGTGCGGAAATTTGAACAAACAGGTGAAGTTAAAGACTTGCCAAGGTTGGGCCGTGCTCGAACTGTTCGTACTCCGGAAAAAAGCGAGAGAGTTCGCGAAAGTGCAGTGGAACGCCTTGAGACGACTAGGAGACATCGTTCTCGAGAACTGGGTATTCGTCGCACGTCATTATGCACTATTTTAAAAAAAACTTGCATTTGCGGCCATACAAAATTGAAGTCGCCGAAAATACAGTCATGCAATATTGCAGCTTAATACCCAAAATAATGATTTTTACCGACAACTGATAATGCACGATGAAGCCCACTTCGATATGAACGGATTTGTTAATAAGCACAATTGTCGTATTTGGGCATTAGAGAACTCTCGTGTCACCCATCAACGACCACTACATCTTCGTCGAATCACAGTTTGTTGCGGTGTTTGGTATGGAGGTGTCATTGGACCAAAGATTTGATGTATGAATTGCTGGAGATATTGACTCCATTCATACAACCACCCTGACGGGCTTCTGCACTTTCTATCAAAACAAAGGCAAGAGTAGATATTAAGTTTTGGTCATTCTAAAACAGTATCCTTTAATATATTATTGAATTTTCCCTGGTGCATTTGGGGGTGCTCTCAGAGAATTTCAATCATTTTGCCCTTTGTTCATTTGTAATGTGCTTTTTTAAGTTTTCGGGTCCATAGATAGAATTATAAGGGGGAAATCTTGATCAAAACCTTTGGTAAGTTTTTGACTGTCAAAATTATCTCCATTTTGATTGGTTTAACACGTTTACTCAAATCTGGCAGCCCTGTGTCTTGATTTCCTGTCTCCTTTCTATCGAGTCCTTTTAAGACTACACTATTTTCGAATCGATATAAAGTAGAAAAAGTGAGGGAGTGTGATTTTCTATTAAAGTCAAGAATAGGGGCACAGGACGGAGCAGCCTCTCACACAGCTAGGGAAACAACGAATCTTTTGCGAACAATATTTCCGGGACGTTTAATTTCTCGATTTGGTGATGTCAACTGACCACCAAGGTCACCGGATTTAACGGCTCCTGACTTTTTTATGAGGATTTCTGAAAAATAGGGCCAAATACTGTAGAGCAGCTGAAGAACAATATTACGGAAGCGATTGAAAACATTGCCCCCGAATCCTACCAAAAAGTGACGGAAAATGTAATCAAGAGCGCTCAGGTTTGCGCGGCTTTTAGAGGCAGACATTTGTCTGATATTATTTTTCATACATAATTTCTAAGTATCAATGAAAGATTAAGATGAAAAAATAGACGTATTTTATTTCATTTCACAAATATTCAAGATACAAACCAGTCAGTTACATATGGGCCACCCTGTACGTTTTTTGAGTCGCTGAAACCGAATCTGGAGCATATTCACTCCGGAAATGACTCGTTTTTGAGATATTGGCAAGAATTCAACTTTGTTAAGAAACGACTAATAAAAAATCTAAAAGTTGTTGCGGGTCCATGATCTGAATGGAAGCTTGTTTTATAGGTAAACCAGGTGCGTAGATTCTGAACTCGATGTCAATAGGTGAGACAGTTATACACTTGCTTTGTGATTGCCCAGGTGTCCCACCAGCACTCTGCTGAGTTGTCTCACCACCTACTTCAATAACCCCGTCGAAACATACAAGGGGCCAAATGAGGGACCTAAATTCTGTAATTTTCAATGATTACAGAATCCTATTGGTCTTTGGTAATGTTTTATATACCCCCTGTACCACGCCAATGTTTCTGGAGTATCGAGACGGAAGATTATACATTATCTAAAAGTTTTGGAATAATTGAGATAGCTACGCATGCTCTCAACGTTTCCAAACATGCTATTAAGAAGCAGTACCGGCAACACGTTATCGCATTGACAATGGTTGAGGATAGTCTATTTGAATATATATTAGTTCATTATAGATGGCTTTTCGTTTGTATCTTCTTATTACCAGTGTCTTTTCTATTCAACATTTGGTTGTACGCTAGGAATTGGATTGTGTTTAACTTAAGTAGTGCTCCGAAACAACATGACATCAAAGTTCGAAATGTGCAGAAACAGGTAATTATTTAACTTCTATACTCATCTTGACATTCCCTCTCCAATTCACCGTGTTAAGTATACTAACTTACAATATCACAGCACTAAGGTCCCAATGGGCCCATTGAGACTGATTTTTTATATTTTTTTTTATCCAAATACAATTTTAATTTTATATTGTCACCATCAAAGTAACTTAATTCTGCAGCCACGCAGCGCTGGAGATGGTTCGTCCACTCCTCATAGCCGTGCTGGAACTACAATACTCGAAAAGCCTTCAGCTGGTCGGTTACAGCCACTTGAATGTTTTCGACTGTCCGAAAATGAGTTCTCTTGAGGTGACTGTTCAACTTCTGGAGAAGAGAAAAGTTACAAGGACTCAAGTCAGGCGATTAAGGGGGCTGGGAAGCCACATGAACGTTTTTACGGGCCTAAAACTCGCTGTGTGACAAAAAGCATTAGCGTGATGCAACGCCCAGTTGTTCTTGATATGATGAATGGCAATGTGAGTCAAATTTAGCTCTCCGCTTATCATTCTGACCGTCAACCGATGATTTGAACGCACAAGATCACGGATTCTATCGATATTTTCATCGGTTCTTAAAGATGAACGCCTTCGGCTTCGTGGCTCATCTTCAATCAACTCTCTCCCTCCTGAAAATGCCTTAAATTACCTGTGCTCTTGACAAACACTATTTCCGTAGACCTGTCGAAGTTCAGCAAGAGTTTCTGTTGCACTATGTCCAAGTTTGAAGCAAAACCGGATAGCACACGGTTGCTCGAAGTTGATGTCACAATGTTTTACAAAAAAAATCGCTACGGATAACCAAATAACTCCAGCAGGGTATCCAGGTTTTCATTCACATTGGTCGCAAAGTTTTGATGAGAAAATCGAAAGAAATTGCCACTATTTGAAATAACTAGGAGTCAACCATAAAACGCCATATTAGAGATTGGAGTGAATTTTTGGGAGGGTGGGGGGCTAGTAGTTTGCCTGTTAACTGAAGAGCTGAGGTGAGGGAGGTTAGGCATAATAATAGTATATGATAATAAACAATTCCGTGAAAAGGTGAGGTGAGGATGGGAGGGGGGTGGGTGTTAGACACGAAAGTATAAGTTCATTCACAAGGGGCAAATCCATTGTGCTTAGAGCACAGAACTTCCGCTAATCCTCGTTTCATGTTTCATTAATCTATAGAATTATTTTTCACAATGCTATTCCTCGATCCACAAAATTGCTATCATATGATGAATTTAAAAGACATATGACGAAACTTATTTTGAATACCTAGAAGTATATCACCTCACACAAAAATATTTCCAATATAGCATTCCTTATTTTGTATAACTGTTATAATTTTATACTTTTAACTCATGAAATATTGAATAGCCTTCACTTATATATGTTCTATACATCATAGTTTTTATACACCTATATTTTTAAACTTGTAACCTATCAATTTTTCTTTTTTTTGCATTATGCTAAACTTAGTCCTCTAAATAAAGACGATTTATTATTATTATTATTATTATTATTATTATATCGGAAAAAATTGATTACAAATTAAGTGGCGTCAGGAATGCTAAAAATCGCTAGATGTCGAAAAGCTATCCATTTTAGTCGCCATTTGAAGCCGTGAAATCGCCACTTTGGCGAAAAATCACCACGCCTGGTAGCCCTGAACTCCAGCGAGCTTAAACTTGTTATGTTCCCCTGTCTCCCCTCCAAGCCCGGCGCATCCAGTGTTGCCAAATCCACAAAACACATAAGACTGAATAAGTGGAGCTGCACGTTAAACGATGGCAACACCGTTGACGTTTGTTAGTTAGTTGCGCCGCCTACTAGCCTGGAGATCTGGAGAAACTATCGAAAGAGTGCGCCTGGAATAAGGAATGCTAGGAATGTGCCAGGGATTTCGTTTGTTCATAATTCAAAATCTGCTGAAAATGATAATTCCGATATTGAAGGTATACTTCATGAACATATATTCATAAAATATCTCCATCAATAAGGTAATATCTCTTTCAGCAGTTTTGCTGAGAACAAGGTTCAGAATAATAAAATCCATGACTAATTATGAAGTACAAAATATATTTAGTCTCAAAAAATAATCATATGCTGTCGACAATGGTATACAAATTGTAAAACATGAAAATATAGATAGATTTATTCCAAATTCATGTTGTGTGTTGCAAAACACAGGTGTCTCATTTCATTGATGCCTCGTAACAATACAGAAGACAATAATGTAATTCATAATTACAAATATTTGTAAACGAGCTGGTGACTTATAACTAGTTTGCTCAGTTCTATGCTTTTAATTTGTTGGCCTAGATGGGCAGAATTCTGCTTTATACAGCTTAGGGGTTCATGACTGCAACTTTAAATAATCTACCAACCACATCATGCCGATTTGTTAAGTTCACAGACTACCTGTAGCACTTGATGGCTTATGACAGAGTCTGCATCTCCCACAATAGTCACAATACATCTCACGTACACTGATAGTGTTACTTTATATCTTATACTCATTTTTAACGAAATATCTCCGAAAGCATCAGCGTTGATAATCTGGATATTGACCAAAACAAACGCTATATTTGATATTTTTACATTTAGATAAAGATAGAGAATCTCGGCAAGCATCACGTTACGTGATATCGGTAATGCAGTTTCCTCGATTCTGCCTGGAAACGATGACCTTGGTGTTGCCAGTTCGCCCATTAGACGTCTCACCCCCCTGGCCAGATCGAACGCTACGTCACCAGTCTCATCACTTAATTTACAGACCTTGTAAATCGACCACGGGCATTACTCAAGGCTGGATAATGAGCCACCCCAGACGAATTTCCTTTATATCCTCCATAGAAGCCAACACTAGCCCGTAATGGATTTTTGCACTGATCGGATGTCTCGACAGTCGCAAAACGTATCATAGACTGAACCTCTGCGTGTGACCATGACCAACTGCATACAACGTTGTTTCGTACTTGTCAGCAATCATCATTATGGTATAGGTCTTGTGTTGCAGACAACGGAAAGCATACAAACGAACATGGTCTGCTGACAAGCTCAGTATTTACAGAGGTGACAACTACCTACAAACGTATCATCTCAGATGTTCTCTAAGCCTTTGTGGGTGTGGGATGTACTTTGAACATAGTTGTTATGGCTCTGATGAACGGTAGTTTTAGCACCATTTTTCACCCAGTCGGTCTGATGTAATGTTACTCTTGAACTGTGAGTGACCTAGGCAACAGCTAAATTGTTGCTGATTGAAGCAGTGACACGTTCCAAATGTCAACCTAACATATTTTTAGTAGGAAATAAAATCGCTGGATCCATAGTGTTACAATGTTTCAAAGATTCTTGCTCATTTTCAGACATTGTTTGAAGGGGATGAAAATTGTAGTTTGGAACTGTATGCGGTAAATGGTTGTAAATTGTTGCATATTTGGTGTCAGAAAAAGACCTGCTATTAAGATCTGATCTCGGTGATCCTATGTACCTGTTAGACATAATCAGTCACATCTATTTTCTCTACATCTGCCATAGAAACAGAAATATGATGACTTGCCTGATATAGTACGGAATGCATAGATCGAAGTTTCATCGTACCTGAGTGACACTTCATAATCACGATTCCATTTGAAACAATTTGAATAATGCCTTTTCATTGGAATCTCTAACGAAGAATATAGAGTCAACCTACTTGACGCCATTTTTTCGTTGTGTGTTTGCAGCCTGCTTGACGCCCTTTTTAGACAAACGGCTCACGTAATTTAATCTGGCATGATGTTGAACCTAGGTATCTAGTTTTCGTTAGTATTTGTAAATCTGTGCCTGCTTTCGGAGGCATCATTAACATCAAACGGAATGAGGGATACTCTACTACATCCATGCATGTGCACTGGTTTAATTGAGTTGTCAATGAGAGTGCTCTGCTCTATTTGATTTGGCTCTGGCTGTGGCATTTTTTCTGGGCAAGGGCGTAACATCTAGTCGAGAAGAGATGTTACCAAAGCCAGCCACAGTTACTCCAAATCATATCTGAGTACTGCATTTTCTGGTCGCGAATAAAAACCACATATACAGGGGGATAGGCCAAGTCATGATAACGTATGTCCTAAAGGTTTTGGTACAAAATATTTATAGGATTTTTTTTAATAGAGAATTTTATCCAAACATTAATATATCATAAATAAAAACTCAATACTTAACTAATCTATACTATCGAATTATGTGGAGTAGCCCATTCTGCTCTACCAGACGTAATTTTCTTCGAATGTCTCTCATGAGGTCCTGCGCGGAACTCAATCAATTTCTCCCAGTTTTTTGTAAATTCGCCGTCCTAATGGTTCTTCATCTTGGGCTTCCTAGCCTCCATGATAAACCTTCCTAGGCAGTAAAGCCCAAAAATCCTCTATTGGGCGAGCCTGTGGCAAGTTTAGAGGATTATCAGTCTTGGGAACAAAAGGTATGTTATGTTGTCGAAACCAGTTTTGGATATCTCTTGAGTAATGTAGCTAGGTCTGGCCAAAACATGATTTGTTTATTAGTATGATGGACGTGGACAAACTGAAGCAGTTTGGAAAGGCAGTTGTCAATATAGCTCTGACTATTCAAAGCTTCACCGCTTACTCTTCCCACAAAATGTTGGGGTACACCCCTGTTAGAAATTGTGCACCAGACAAGGATTTTATCTGTAAATTTAGCTTTATGTTTGTATCTAACATTGTCAGGGTATTCCTCTACGTTGTCCGTAATAACAGCCGTTGTTTCCCTTCATTTCAGAATTACTGAAAGTGAAATACTTTTTGTCATCAAAAATAATGACTTTTACATTGTCAAAGTGTAGCCGCCTTGTTAACGATAACATCTTGGTATACGAAGGGGTTCCGTTTGAAAGTATTTGGGACACTTAAGTCTCTTTTGATATTTAAAACCATTCCTTCCCAATTCCGACGATATCGTGCTCTTAGAAGATCTGTATTGAAAAGCCAGTCTCCTTGTTTTTTGC